TGTGCTACTTTTTTATTGAGAATAAATTAATGTGGGTCAGTATTTATCGGCGTTGATGGATTCAAAGTACATGTCTATTTGTGTCACTTTTAGAGCGGACATCAGTTTTTGGCCCTACTTCCCCACTAAATATTTAAATAAGTTTTCATGGTTTCAGTTGCGTAGCAATATGGCAAAAATTATGTTCTAATTTTGCATCGAAATAAATTTAGTAAAGAATGATAAAAATTTCAATTTAAGATATGGCCAATAAGAGGATCATGAGGGCCAACATCTGATACACTTACCCTAATGCAATAAAAAAATATGTTCATCAAATTTCCTGAACCAAATTGTACCTATGTGTTGCAAGAGTTGTAATTAAATGCTATTACAGTCAAAATTAGGCCACCACCTTGACTCAACTAACGAATTAGGTTCGGATGGGTCAAGTCGCAGAGGGCAAACATTTTTGACGTAGGACTATGTCTTTGATTTATATTTGGGGATACACTTTGTGAAAACCGAAAATGGAACATGTAACAAATAAAGAAATATTTTGAACGTTAATAACTCAGCTGCCCCTGGTCCAATTTCAATAATTTTATCACCAATCGATCAGAAATATGGCTACGCATCGATAACAATGCTTCTGAATGTTGATTTTCAACAAGAAACTATTGAAAAACTGGTAAATGTCCAGCATTGTCCAAAAGCTTCGAATTAACTAACAAATCCACCAATTACCTACATGCATATGCTGCTTCCCCAGCACAGTCGTCAGAGAGTAGTAAGTAGAAGAAACAAGTCGAAGTGGCATTCGCCTCCGATCCTCGGGCGCGTGCGAATAGGGAGGATGGAATTGTGTAATATTTTGCACACTCATCGCCATATTCAGAACCAAACGCAAATTCTTCGAGATAACTACCATCCGTCGTCTGGTTTATGAGGTGTGCTGAAGGTGTTCCTGAAAAATGAGATCCGTGATGCTGTCACCTACACTAAACACGCCAAACGTAAGCGGCCATGGATGTCATCAACGTTTTGAAGTGACAGAAACGCACTCTATTTGGTTTCGGAGGTTAAATCATCACCAACTTTGGCAACAAAACGGTTCTTTTCAGGGCCACCAAGCTTATTACAGTAAAGAGTAGGAATAGAATTCATCTGCCTGTTTGTCCATATTCAGAGCCAACGATCACACAAAATGCTCATGTAATCAAACTGGAAGCAGGGATACAAATTATTTTGATCAACCTTGATCAACTTTGAATCGCCACGGCCGGATATTTTCGATGGAAGAAGCAACAATCTAGCATCTAATTCGACGAAGACGGCAGGAAACATTTGTGAAGCCGAGTTATTTACGAAAGAGAGTGACGATGAAGAGAATCGATCAATGTAGATAGGACCTATTGAAAAGTGACGCGAGATTTGTTTTCCATACTGAGCTCCAATGCTACCGACGCCAGGGAGGCAGCTCCCAGAGATGTTATGCCTTAGAACATGCCGGTGGCGCCGACTGAGATTGGACCCAGGCCTGCTGGGGTGAAAGGTAATCATGCTAACCACCGGTGCCGATATCTATCACGGCGAATGAGAACGACCCAAATTTAAGTTAAGTTATCTCAAAAATAAGAAATAAAGTACAGGAACTCAGCGATGAGTAAATTTGCCTCATGTTTTCCCAGGTTTTTCCAGGATTTTCCAAGGAAAAATTCCCGAATTCGAGAAAAGTAAAGATTGGATTCACTCAGTCTATTGGTACTTCTCCGAGACTGAATTTAAATTTTCGTTAATTTCCTCATTTTCTGGCAGATTTTTGAGGTTTTCCACTGGAAACCATGAGAAAAATTTACTCATCGCTGAGTTCTTACACTTTTGGCGATTATGAGTGAAGTAAACTCAAATTTGGGTCGTTCTCATTCGCCGTGTACGCAAAAAGAAAAGAGCCAGTGTCGTTACTTGTTAGCAAACTACTCATAATGGGAGGAGTCTTTGTAGCGTTTATATCACTTGGTTGCACATCATTCTGCTTTAACCTAAAAAGATATAAAGCAGCGCTGCTGTCTGGTATCAGCTCATTTTCGCTTCGGACGGCGTGGTCAGCAATAACAGCAGTAGGAAGGTGGTTAGTCCACTTTTCTATAACCCAACAAGCAACAATTGACTGGTCATGGTAAAGGAGGTGCCAATCGTCATCGCAAATTCTTCGAGATAACCACCATCCGTCGTCTGGCTCGCCGTGGTGGTGTCTGACGTATCTCCGGTCTGATCTACGAGGTGTGCTGAAGGTGTTCCTGGAAAATGAGGTCCGTGATGCTGTCACCTACACTAAACACGCCAAGCGTAAGTGGCCATTGATGTCCTCTTCAATAAAACGGCCCTTTTCAGGGCCATCAAGCTTACATCAGTAAAGAGTTGGAATAGAATTTATCTGTGCTTGTTTGTCCATATTCAGAACCACAAGCCCCCAACAACCACACAAACTTTCGCACCCACGCAGGGGTTCAAGTTATTTTGATTGATTCTCGTAATCAACTTAACTTTCTCTTTGAAAAAGCTTACTACAAATTTGGTACGCCTACAATTCAAAAACGGAAAGAAATGAGATAATAGATAATTGATCAATTAAAAGAACTTAATGCTCTTTACATTTATTCCGTCCACTAGCGGTCCTACGTCAAGCTTCCGTTTGTGCCCCTAGGCACAGACCCTTCTACTTTTTTAAGAGTGCGTGCATCGTTTTTTGTGGTTGAGTAAATTTCAAGAAAAGCGGATTCAACCACAGATCATTGAAGGATGTTAATTGAAACTGAAAGGATAAGGCTAAACATGATAAACTATGATGTTTGAACATTTTGATTTAGTTTTCTTTGCAAATTTCAAATAAAACTTAAAGATTTGATGTAGGTACATACCAAATTATTGCATTCATAACACTTGCATAACATGTGCAGTCTAAAACGCATTTGCTCATCCCTTGGAAGAATTTATGTTTGTTTGTCAGAGCCATCCTGACATAGGATTTGACATCCATTTGCTTATTATTTGGGTTATGACCCATCTAGCGGGGACCCAACTAAAAAGCAGCCCAAGCATTGATCTGTCCGCATCGTGCTCTCTTGCCGTGTGGATAAATTTACTTTTTGCTGAAGGAAGTGTTACTGCTACATAAAGTTACAAAATATTTAAACACAATTTCTACCTTGTTCGATTATTATTCCTCTTCGATCCTTGTTTGGACCCTACCCGAGGTTATCCTGCTTGGATATCGATTTGAAAAATACTTCTTCGATCCAACGGATTCTTTTAATAATTGTTGGAAGTCGATTTGAAGGAACCTGGTTCGCCGTCATGGCACCTAAGTGCAAAAGAAAAGGACAATCTCTTGATCTTCTTCTGATGAAATTTATTTGAGCAATCAATTTGATATGCTCACGGATAATGAGAATGATCCATCATCCAGGCAAAATTCTAATAAACTTTCCCATATTAATGCCAAGAAGGAAACTGTTCCTTTCGTGATAACCACTTCCGATTTCCATTCTCATTGCACGGAACTTTTGAACTTCGTTAAAATCTTGACTGAAACCTGCAATACTTGCCTAGCAAATTCAGTTGGTTCTGTGGAGAGAAGGTCTAGCATAAGAGAGGAGCGGATTCAAAACAAACTGCCTTGGCAACCTATGCCTAGGTGATTTATAGCAACACTGCCAATACAATCAAGGCGCTGCTCGATTGGCTCTGGCTTTGACAGTTCGTTTGGTTCAAAACCAGCCAGTCCGCTCCTCTCTTACATGGTTAGAAAAAAGTACCCAACGGCCAGTTCACTTTTACTTACTTTTGACTAGTTTGTCTCCTTTTCTCCTTCTAATGTTGTCAAAAACGGAGGAGCAAAACCACCCAACAGGGGTACTAAAGTGTGGGAACTCAACGTTGAGTAGAATCATATTTACCTACTGTTGGGTACAACTAACTTACTTTTGGTTAAAAAGCCAGTGGAAAATTCCATACGAACTGCACACAAGTAAATGAAAATTACTTTGACCCGCTTTACCTACTTTTGGGTTCCTGCACTATAGTGCCGAGATGAGTGAAAAGAACTTAATTTTCGGTACTTTTTTCTAACCGTGTACACTAGACCCTTCTCTTGTGTATTAGTAGCAAAATCAACAGGGACCCTTCACATTAGATTCGTTTGCGGTTGCGTTTACGTAAATTTGACAGTTGACGAAATTCACGCCAACTCGACTATGGTAATAGCAGCACCCTCTCAGATTTCAATGATACGTTGTGGGCGTTCAGACATCTTCTATTATTGTATATCTTCTGTTATTATCTGTCTTTTTCACCTTGATTTTTTTTTTCTGTCAATCCTGTTTCTCGTGCTGAGCTTCGGATGCCAGGGAGGCAGCTTCCAAACCTGGAGCCTACCTATCGACCCATCAACTCATAGACCGGAGACCAACGGCTTTACTTCCCTTCCGAAGGTAGACGTGATCAGAGATGTAATGCCTCAGAACATCCCGGCGGTGCCGACCTGCTGGAGTGAAAGGTAAGCACACTTACTACTACACCACCGGCGTCGCTGTTATCATCTGTCGCCAACACATCCTTTAGCACACAAAATGAATATTTAACAGTTTAACTTTTTTCAATCTGAAATCAATGTTTCGATGTAGGACTCTGACTCCTCAATCTGTGAAATTCCATTCGACTTAGACTCTGACCCCATAGCCCTGGGACTATTTTATACCTGCAGCTATTTGTGATACCACTGGTACTAATTTTCCAACCATTGACCAGGAAGCGATAACAGCATATGAGGCGTAATTTTATGAATTTTAGATGCACTCAAGGGAATAGAAAATAATATTTCGAAATTGATTTGATGTTGACTTTAGCAGTAACTTATAGCATTTATTGCAATATTTCACATTAACTCACTTTATTTATATACCGATTTAACTGTACCTTAATTTCACAACAAAACCATCAACCAACCAGAATTACAACATTAATTCCAGGAACTCGACTCATCCAGTTCAACCTGATTAGATATGTCAAATTCACACCTTACGATGGAGCCGTATCTTCATTACTAGAAGTCCCACACTAAATCGAATAACCAATCCACACGTGCTGCTTTGGCTGCCAGCAACACATCCCCTACGTTCAATGATGACATTTTTTCGGCATACCGGGCGAGTAGCTGCTGCTGTTGGTCGGTTCGTCGTAAATTTCATGGAAATTGATTTTAATTTCCGACTTTTGCTTCTTCAACCGTTTGGTGGGATGCGGGGGCAGCGGTGGCGGTGGCGGATCCTTGGGGTAGTACTCCATCGGCGACTGTTGTTGGGAATGGGGTGGCGCTGACGGACGGGATCGATTATCCATCTTCCAGGAAATGTATTGAAACTGGGTCGCCGGAACGACGGCGGACACGTAGCTGCGGCAGCTTTCGATACTGGTATCGGACACACTGCGCTTGTGACGCGGTCTGCGGGGGAAAGAGTGCGACGGTGGATTAGGGTAGTTGTGGAGGACGAATTTCAATCGAAATCATACCTTTCGGGCTGTTGGGCTACCGGTGTCATGTAGCATTGATTGGTGGTACTTCTTTCGATTCGCAAATCAGTTGTAACCTTCCGGCAAGCTAGAAGATATAATGTCGGTTAGCTAATATTCATAACACGGGATTGACAGTGTTCGACTCACACTTCTGGTAGGAATCGAAGCTCTTGATGAAGCAATAGGACATGACGACGCCACTCATGATGGCTACCAGAAGCGAAGCTATCAAAATACTGATCATGGTAATCTTCTGATCCTCAATCAACCACGTCCGCTGACCGTAGGCTGGAAGCAGCTTGTGCGGAAGGCAATCGAAGGGAGATATGGTGCTCTCATACCGATAGAGAACACAAAAGATGTAATTCTTGTCCGGTGTCAAATTGCTGATTCGAACGGTTCGGCCATAGATGTGGGCACAGCTGGCACTGTCTTCGATTTGCAGCGTGAAAATGGAGTTGGTGGACAAGGTATCGTAGAACCAGAGAATCACCGCCACGCTGTACGATTGATCCAGGATGAGCTCAACTGCCCCTTCCTGGGATTCCAGTAACGTAAAGGTTTTGCTTCGTTTCTTGAGGGACAACTCTGAGTCTTGGTAATTAGTTATGTTTGATTGCGTTGGGACAGCCGTTTGAATACACTGCATAGTGAATAAATTACCCGGGAACGAAGTGGCAGCAGTTGTTGTTGAAGTAGGCAAAGAAGAAGAAGAAGAAGAAGTGGTATCTAGAGTTGTCGTTGTTGTTGAAGACGGTTGAGTAGGAGTCACAGTGGTTGATAAATTCGGTTTGTCCGTTGGCTTATTGGTGGGCATTCCAGTAGGCTTAATGGACGGAAGCGTAGGGATGGTCGTAAATTCTGTTGTTGGATCTGTCGTAACTTCTGTCGTTTCTGTCGTTTCTGCCTCAGTTGTCGTCTCAGTGGTTGATGTCACAGTTGTGGAAGGTTCTGTCACAGCATTACACATCTCAACTTGAGAGATCAACATCCCAGCATACTCTTTCGGTTCAGCACATTTAACTTCATCAAACATCGACGGATTCGACACAATCAAATTTTTAAAATAACTCAAATTACAATCGCACACCAAAGGATTACTCTTCAGATAAATTTTCACCCTTCTGTCAACCAAGCTATCAAACACTCCTTCCTCGATCGAACTTAACTCATTCCCGTTCAAGTAAATCTGCTCCACCGACTTACTGATGCTCTCGATCATTCCCACCCGCAACGTTTTGATATGCGAATGTCTCAGGTACAAACTGGACAGACTCGGAACCTTTGCAAACGAATCATCAGTCATAACGTCATCGAGAATGTTATACTCAAACGACACAATTGCCAAATTGTCCATCGTCGTCGACCCAGTAAACTCCCGAGGATTAAGCAGATTCATGCAACCCTCCACCAGCAACCTCGTCAGGGTAAACTTCACCGGGGCCAAAACGAACGGCTGCACATTCTCCAATGGCAAATTCTTCAAGTTAAGCTCTTGAAGCAGTTGGAGCCCAAGGAATACGTTCGAATGCAGTTGGGTAACCTGAAGCGAATCAAGAGTTAGAATCGACATGCCGTAAAATTGCCGAGCGTCGAAGGATCCTGCAGGAATATCAGCAATGTCGGAATTTTTCAGCTCCAGTTGATTGATACGGATGGACTCGTTCAGATCAAGCCATCTGGGGAAGAGATTTCCATCTTCGATGTAGAGGTACTCGATGGTGAGGTTGATGCCGTCGCATGATTGACCCTGTTGCGGAGGATTGCAAGATAAAGGTGTGTTAGTTTAAAAGTTATAAACTGATCGAATAAAGCTGGGCTTGGACACGGTAAGTCAATTGATCAACTGAAATTTTGATAACGATACGAATCGGATGAGCTTTAAGTTTGTCAAGCTACCATTAGATCATACGAGCATGTGGTAGACTCGATGATTGGCATGGGAAAACTTCACCATAAGCAGGCATAGCAAATCATTTACATTCATTTCGTGCATTCATTTACATTCATTTGCCTCTAACTTTTTTCATTAACAGAATTCCATGAAATGATGTATGCAGCTTTTGTAGGTTTTGATATTAGCTACAACTTTTATCGTTAACTCAAATCTGTACCTCTTATGCATGATGAACTGGGGCGAACAGAACTTACCTATGTTTTTGAGTGAATGTAAATTACATTCACTGAAAAATAGTAACAAGTTAAGTTCTAGTTCGTAAAGCATAAGAGGTACAGATTTGAGTTGGTAAAGTTGTAGTTAATATCAAAACCTACAAAAGTTTCATACATCATGTAACGGAAATCTGTTGATGGAAAAAGTTAAAGGCAAATGAATGTAAATGAATGCACGAAATTAATGTAAATGATTTGCCATGCCTGACCATAAGTTAAAATGTAATGTTCAAAATGTGCCACCTTCGCTGCACACGGTGCGGTTCTGGTTTTCGAGTACCGGTTTTTGAGTTCACAAGGGTTATGTGCTGAATTCAAGAACAGAGCCGGTGCTGTTGTGCGTGATGCGCATTATTTAGGTTTTCCAGTAATGGCAGTTAATTAAAAAGAATTTTTATTTGATAAATACATTTATGTAGTGTCAAGTCGAAATGCCGGATTTTGAAAACCGAAATCCTTGCAATTCAAAAGAAGTTCAAATTGGAGTGACGCCATGTGAATCCAAGATGGCGGCTTCCGAATATAGAAAAACTGGGAAATACTGTCAATCGAGAGACCACAAATCAATGTCCGATGCCATCTTGAAATACAAGATAACGATTGCAATCGATTTCTGGTCTCTTTACGGCACCCTGATTCCTAAAATACCTATATTTAAGGGTATTTGACAGTATTTCCTAGTTTTCATATAACCAGAAGCCACCATCTTGAATGTCAAGATGGTGACAAACATTAATTTCTGGTCTCTAGTGGTCTTCCCGATTCATAAATAGCTCATATTGTAGGGTATTTGGCAGTATTTCCCAGTTTTTCTATAATCGGGAGCCACCATATTGGATTTCAAGATGGCATCGAGCATCGATTTCCGGATTCTAGAACTCGTCACCCTTATTCCAAAAATACCCATATTGAAGTGTATTTGTGAGACTTCAAAACGATCTCGCGTTCCTTCGCTACCAATATTGTCAATCAAAATATGTGACAATTGTTCAAAATGACGTCCGACATTGGTTGTGGGTATTTTGCAGTTTTTTAGAAAACCGATGGCTTTCATTGTGGATTCAACAATTTCAACAACAATGACTCTATCTACGATGCAGGAAAAATTGTGTTTTGCTGTGGTTAGCTGCGCACACGCTGAGTAGATAGAAAGAAGATTGATGACGATTCTGAGGATTTCATGCAAAAAGATGTTGCGCGATGCAAGTAGATGCGAGAAATGAAAAAAAATCGAAGATTGATTCGCTAGTGTGTGATTTTTCGAGTATCTAGAATTGAAATTTAGATGTGTCACCCCCCTCGTATATTGTAATGTATTTGACATAATGTTTAAAACCAACGGCTGTCAGCTTCGATTCAAAAATGACGGCCAACGTCGATTTTATCGTCCCCTTTTCGAAAATACCCATATTTTAGCATTTTTGACAGTTTTCCAAAAAACCGATGGCTGCCACCTTTGATTCCAAACTGATAGCGGACATCGAATTTTGATATCTACCAGTCGTCCTTGTTCCGAAAATACTCATACTGTAGGGTATTTGACAGTTTTTTAAAACCAATGGCCGCCATCTTGGATTTTAAAATGGCATCCAACATCAATGTTTGACCTCTACACGTCGTACCTGATCCAGAAACACCATATTGTAGGTTATTAGACAGTTTTTTTAGAAATACGATGGCCGTCATCTTGGATTTCAAAATTCCGGCTGACATCGAATTTTGACATCTACACGTCATTATCGTTCTGGAAATACCCATATTATAGGGTATTTGACAGAATTTAAAAATCCGATGGTCGCCATCTTGTGTTCCAAAATGGTGTCCAACATCAATTTTTGACCACTACTGGTCGTCCCCGTTCGGAAAATACCCATATTGTAGGGTATTTGACAATATTTCATAAACAGATGGCCGCCATCTTGGATTCCAAAATGACGTCTTGCTTCGAAAAAGGCCCTGTATACGGCCCCTCGTTCTGGAAATACTCACATTGCACAGCAATATCCTAAATGGACAAGCTTTCGAGGCATGGCATATTCAGGAAGTTCACATGTACACTAGCGCCTCGTAGTGAGAGAGTTCTGAGCTAATATGAAGATCATCCGGAAGACCGTGGTCATCTGCACAACTTTGCTGTAGACAGCAAGCTTCTATATGGTCACGATCTCGAGGTACAGGTTATACAGGAAGTTCATGCACACAATAGCGACGCGTAGTGAGTGAGTTCTGAACTAATATGACCACCATCCGAAAGGACTTGGTCATCTGACCAACTTTGCTTAAGACAGAAACCTCCTATATGACCATGATCTCGACATACAGCTTATACAGGAAGTTCATATGCACACTAACACCACGAAGTATGAGAATAACTTTCTATATGATCAGGATCTTGAGAGGATCTTGAACAGTAGAGAGTTTTTAAAGCGTAGTTGTCGGTGAACTCGGAAGCGTGACGACGGATGAATCCCAGCACAGAAAAAGCTTTGGCAGTGGTAATGCTCACGTGTTCGTTGAATCTAAGCCTCGAATCGATGGTAACGCCAAGGTCACAGATGGACGACACACGTTCCAATGATGCAGTTTCCATTCTGTATTGATGAAGAACGGGGTTATTGCAGCGACCGAAGGTAATAACTTTGCACTTTATGTTATTGACCCGCATGCCGTTATCGCCACACCATACCAGTATAGTATCAATATCTTCTTGTAGGGCAATACAATCCGGAAGAGAAGGTATGACACGATACATTTTTAGGTCATCAGCGAATGAAAGCTTAAACAAGGAAAGCAGCAGACACAGGTCATTTATAAAGATGTTGAATATTAATGGTCCCAGAACGCTTCCTTGGGGTACACCAGACGTGATTTTGAAAGTGCGGGATCGAGTCGAGTTGACCGCAACATATGCAGTACGTTCGCACAAGTACGAATATATCCACTCTGTAATCCAATCTATGTGCTTCAGTTTTTCCACAGCTAGAATATGCGGTACAGTGTCGAAGGCTTTCGCAAAGTCAACATACACCGCGTCAACTTGCCGCCTCTCTTCTACTTTGCGGGACAGTGCGGTGACGTAACATATGAGGTTCGTTGTTGTAGAACGATGCATCATAAAACCATGCTGACCATCAAAGATTATGGGAAACGCTACGTTGTATAGAACGTTGTGCACCAGTCTTTCAAACACTTTGCTGAGACAGCAAAGTATAGATACGCCGCGATAATTTGTCTCCTAATTACAGTTGCCAGATTTGTGAATAGGAACGATGCAAGCAGCTTACCAAGCTGTCGGAAAGGTTCTTTCGTGAAGTGATCGGTTGAATAAGCGAGCAATTGGGTTCTCTAGTTCTCTTGAACAGTTTCTCAGCAACAGGGGTGGTATTCCGTCCGTCCCAGGTCCTTTTTTGATGTCAAGCTCATCGATGACTTTTACTACTTCATTTGCGGGAAACTAAATAACGAGTAGGTTGATGTTATGCGAAGGAAGGTGAGCAAAACAATCGCGCCTTGGCACTTTACTAAAAACGCTCTCGAAGAACATGGCAAAAAGGTTTGCAGCATCCTCATTTGTATTAGCCTGGGCATCATTGAAGGTAACGTTGCATGGGATGCGAGAAGATGCTTGCTGCTTTTTCACGAAATCCCAGAAGCACGATGGGTTTTGTTTTACGCTGTCCTGGATCCTGAGTAAGTAGTTATCGTACGTGGATAATAGATTTGTTTTGTACTGCAGCTCTACTTCGCGAAGGTAATTACGGTCGCTCTCAGACATCGAAAGGAAGAAACGGTGACGTGCTTTCCTTAGGATGTTACGAAGATTCCGTAGTTCGGAGGTCCACCATGGCTTGCTGAAAACTGAATTGATCGATCGTCTTTTCCGAGGAAAATAGTCGTTAAGCACTGCATAAAGCTTGTCATAGAATGCTGATAATGTTCTATCCAATAGCCCGGTTAGTGGTAAGGAATCCCAGTCAATGGCAGCTAGAGCCGTTTTCAACTGGCCAAAATCACACGAGCGGAAATCGTAGTAAAGATTATCATCCGACTCGTTCTGTCCTACTAAATCGTCGATACTCTCATCGAACAGCAAAACAAAAGGCACGTGGTGATTGTCTACGGGCAACAGAGGCGTGGTCAGGCTTCCAAATAGTACAGCCTTCTCGGGACAGTTGGTTTATACCTGAATTGACTGTTGCTTTGTGTGCTTTACTACCACTTGCTACCGTACGTTCAGATCTGAATTCGAAGTGTATTGGCAAAAGCGCACGCACGAAAGAATGAAAGCTTTATTAGAACAGTCGCATCTATACCCGCTTTGCAAAAATCATCGTGCTTGGAACGTAGTGACCCGTATGGGCTGTATTAACACATTTATTTATGACTAGGTTTTCAATGTTTCTGTCGTCATGACAGCCTTCACAAAACGACGACATCCCTCAGCTTACCCAAGTGGCTGTCTCGAAAAGGCTGTCACGAGACATTAATTACAATTGATAGAAGTCAGGTTGGTGTCGGGTAGGCTTATATTTTTGGCTGGAATGTCGGAATGTCTGATCTGCTCAAGACCGCGCGTTTTCAAAAAAATATCGGATGCAAATTTTGCAATGGGCAGCACGAACTTGATAGCAACCGAACGAGCTTCGGCGTCACACTGGTAGTGTAGTAGCTGCGTTACGACATACAAACAAAATTTCAAAGACAGCAGCAATGAATCGGCAGTTTGACGGACTGCTTGTTGTATGTACGAGGAACGTTACGAAAGACCATCTGAGGCTGTCATAGCCGAACGAACAAAATACATGACTAAGAACGAGCTGTCGTGTACTGCACAAGACGGCAACGTTGCATGTCGTATAACAGCCTCACTGTGGGCTGTCGCTTATAGCTCAATCTCAAGGGTGTCGTAGGAAAAAGAAAGCGACAGCCGTTGAAATACTGTCATGAGGCGGTACTTTTGGTATGCCTGGGCGTGGTGGGTTAGGTGAGGTCTAGTCGCTCTGGAAGACTGACGAAAACAAGGTCGAGAAGCCTTCCGTTCGCATTCACATATCGGTCAACTTGCTGCAAACCAGTAGCAAACATAGTTTCAGTGAGTGCAGTAAATATACAGGAAATTCAGTTTCGATTGGACGTAACTCTGGACAATCTCGTGGATATGCGGTTTTTGGTACAATATTCCCTTGATTTGCTTCATACCACTCCGCATAATGGCATGATGCCAAATCGGGCCAGAACAATGGGTTTTCTTTGTGGCCTTTGATGAAGGGGAGCAATTGCTTCTGCAGGCACTCTTTCTGGTAAATCTCCTTGTTGATTGTGCCTGTAGTGACGAAAGATTTACTCTTTCGGTCGCACGTGTAAATTGCTTGCCAAATAAGGTATTTTCTTGGGAAATTTCGATGCCGTTTTCGTTTTGAAATACTCAGCTGTAGCATTTTTGGCTATAGCAGAATGGAAAGTCAGCCCTGAAAGCTACTTGAAATCCTCCAGGAAATAAGTTTGATCGTCCACAATAACACATGAAAACTTCATCAAATATTCGCAGCACAAACATCAAGTCCGTGATTTTGCTGTCAAATCTTGTTTGTCGTTGCGATTTGGAACTGTTTTTACTTTATACGACTTCAGTCTCAAACGTTGTTTTGATTTTTGGACAAAATCAGGTGACATTCCTATATCTACCGTTCGAACAGAGAGATTCGGGTTATCCTTCAATATCCTCTTCACCTTTCGATCCATGACAGGATCAGCACGTCCAATGTTTTTATCCCTTCTCGGTTTTCTCTCAACCTTCAAACGTCCCGGAAATGATTTGAACAGTGGATTTCCCTTCTTGGCAAGTCAGGTACAAAATTTGCTCGCGCACATGTGTTTAGTTCGTCGCCATCTTAAACACTACACATGGAATGTAAACACCAATCATAGTATTTTTCATCAATGACTCCCAGCTATACCGCAGTGAAATTTTTCACTCCTACGTGCAATATTTCAAAAGTTACAATGATTTGAAGGTGCCCGGATTAATGTGGATACAGACCATAATATGAAAGTGAAGCGCATCTAGAGGCGTAGTTCCCAATTAAATCTTAATCGAATCGCACAGGTTTATTGGTCTACTCCAGAACAAAAACTTTGAAACAAATTAGATAATCGACCACAGCTCCTATTAGTGAAAATCCCGTAAGCTGTGGGTATCCTTATTCGTGGATAGCCCGGCAATATGGATCTGGCAATAAGGATTCCTGACTGTATGTCCAGTTTTGGTTTCATAGAATTAAACCATGTGCCGTGAACCATAACCAAATTTATAGCACACTAATTGTCGGTTTTCAAGCTGCGGTTATGTGATGATGATGATAATTGTCTACCACTCATTGTAGCATGGAAACTAAGCCCGATAGCAGTGGGCGCTCCTCACTGTTTGATTTGATCAAGCTCAATAACCTCTGATTGTCCTCAACATGTTACCAACAATCAATACGAAACTAACGATTTTAAATTGGCTCACTACTTGACTAGCCTATTTGGTCCCAAGCAAATCGATTAACGTACCCCATTCTAGTCGAAATTCTAGTACTACACTATGTTTGTTTTGATTCGCTATGGAAATTTGACAGATAAAATGAGGGGTTCGTGGATTTGTCTATGTTTCGAGATGGGGGCGACCCCGGCGTAGTGGTTAACATCCATAGCTCTCACGCGAAAGTCACGAGTTCAAATCTCACCCCCGGACAAGTCACGAATGACCCAAGAGTGTTAAAGTGACTATAATAAAAAAAAAAAAAAATCTATGTCTATATATCTATGCATCGAATAGCTTGGGACCGCAGAGAGTGCCATAGCTGAGCCAAAAAGTTGAGCACGTTTCTTCGATACCCCAATGAGTGTGGAGAAGAAGACGCCCTTTTTCCACGAGATGATAACAACAGGGAGTTAACAATTTCACTCTCCCCATCCAAATCGCTTCAATTGGGCATCCCTTCCCTTCCCATCATTTATTGGTTCATATAATAATGTAATGCAATATGCAATCATTTTGTTAAAGTATATACGGTGACTTACCTTTGATGATGAAGTACCTTACCTAACTGATAACCATCTTCCTTCTTGTCTTTTGTTGGACCTCTTGTAGGTGGTTGGCCTAAGGTCTACTATCCCCTGATGGGACCACCATCTTAGGTGTAGCTTCCGGGGAAGAGCATTTCTTATTCAGCAGCTGGATGCCAGTCTGACGCTTTCTGAGCCACACCTCCGTGGTTGAAAGACGTTCGAACCACCGTGCTATGGTTACCGCGCCAGTGTTCGCTTCGCACCTCCTCACTTTGCTATTGTCGATTGCCCAGGCTGTGTCCATTTTTCAGCTGGTAGTCGCTTGTAATCATATGACTCATGGAAGCGTGAGGTAGGGATTTGTTAGGACCGGATCTAGGAATCACTCTCCTTCCACGGTGTCAACTCACCATCTTGTAGCCCGTCGGTTTTCAAGCTGAGGTTATGTACATCAACTCGAAAACAGTCGGTAGGATTTGATTTAGAACACCGGGTTCACGAAAACTCAACCGAACCTGGGTACACGCTTACATAAACCCAGAAGTATTTTTCAAACCCGATCCAGCACACGGTGCGCACCGGTTGGTTCAGTTGCATATCACAGCTCCTTTGGACAACTTTGTAATCGTTGACTTCAAGCAATAATTACGTACTAGTTTTCTTTATTTTTCTTTACCAGTTCTTCCTTAGTAAGATCTTACATCGAACATCAACATGTGCTGTATTCTTCATGTATACGTTAGGTATTCCAGAGACTCCCTCCCTTCCTTGTAAGAAAATGTAAGCAAATTTTCCTTGAAATTCTTACTTAATTAATCCATGGTCCTTAAAATCTTATAAAAAAATCTTAGTTAAAGATCTGCCATATTGATTTCTTAAATGACTCTGATTCCAGAATTAGCTACATCGGTGACTACAAGAGAAGAGCTCTTGCATCTGCATCAGGGATGGTGTGCGGAGCGTTGTTGTGTCTATCCCAGAATGCTGTTATTATCTTTACAGTAAATTGTAAATAGTCGACGGAAAAAATAAAGCTTATTATTTTGCAAGGTTGTTAACATTTCTCAAAATTGTCGGAAGGATTATCCAAAACGCACCTGGATTTTTTAGACAGCATATCGCGATGACAAGAATCAATGCGCTTTACGCCAGTTTTCGTTACTTCAAATCAGTGATTAGCATAAGAGAGAAAAGGAGCGATCCTTGAGGATTATGAACATCTACTTATTCGAAGCTTATATCGAAGTGAACAACAACATGAAAGGAACGTAAATTCCATATTGATACAAATAACCTTCGACATCTATCTTCTAGAGGTAAACATTGATAATCCTTCTAATACAAGGCATTGAAAATACGTCGTCAATACTGATAGCGATCATGCAGTATAAAACAAACTGCTTGACTACTCTAGCTTCAGTTGGAAGAAAACCGCTGGTTGGAAACTTACAATGGTTTCATCCACGTTATTCGTATTGCTGCTGTGCACTACAGTTGCACTTTCCAAACCCGGTAAGAAATCCCTAATCAGCAAAGATTTCTCGTAATTATCGAAAACAAATTTTCATCTTCAGCTGCCGATGAAGCGTCACCAAACGACGACGGTGCCTCACTGCCGAAGCCTGGTGTTTGCGGAGTAAGTCTGGCCGATCGCATCGTAGGAGGAAGGAGAACGGCCATTAACGCGTATCCCTGGGCTTCTTTGCTGATGGCGGAATCCAAACAAGGCGGCCGTACAGTTCCATTCTGTGGTGCATCGTTGATTTCCGATCGTTTTGTGCTCTCTGCTGCTCACTGTTTCCCAGGTGCTTCGGAAAATTACATTATGTAAGACGTTTCTTTTTGATTAGAAGATTGATTCACAGTCATGAATGTTTCCATTTTCTTAGATCAAACATTCGTCTTGGTGAGTGGGATATTTTGAGCAAGAATGACTGCGAGGATGAGCACTGTTCGGACAACCCGATTGATGCTCCGGTAGAAAGTATCGAGATTCACAAAGAATATTCCGGCGAACCGGATTTCCACAACGACATTGCCTTGGTCAAGTTGGCTACGCCCGTCACCTTCACAGAGTTCATCTCGCCGGTGTGTCTTCCTTCGGCTGAAAAGCTTCGAACTAAATCGGAAACTGGAAGGAAGTTTACTGCCGTTGGCTGGGGTGATATCAAGTATGATGCCAAAACCAGAGGTAATTGTGAGCAAACGAGTGCACTTCAAATGGAAATAAATATAAATTTTCGACACAGATGTTTCAATCGGTAACCGATACAAGTTTGAGGTGCAGCTTCCTGGAGTAGAACCGGCAACGTGCCGCGCATCGTATCCCAACCTTTGGGACTCGGAAATGTGTGCTGGGAAGACCGGAAAGGACACCTGTCAGGGTGACTCCGGCGGGCCCCTGTCGATTGCGGAGAATGACGGATACTGGTACCAGCATGGAGTGGTTAGCTACGGTTACGGTTGCGGTTTTAGAAATTATCCTGGAGTGTATACTCGCGTAACTCACTTCATACCGTGGATTAAGGAGCACATGAAAAAGATGAGCAGAACCAGCAGTGCTCCTGTTAGTACGACGACGCAAAGAACCACGTTCTCGTCACAGTATGAATATATTATCCATATATTGAATAACATTTATGTTGACTAGGTGAGCAAAGTAGAAACTCTGTGATAAATCTGTGTGACATAAAACGTTAGAGCACAATTTAATAAATTATCAACAATCGTGTTGCACATTCTGTTTAATTGTCTACGATACTGTGATATACGAATCAAGCGTCCAGTTTCCTTTGTAAAATGTCCTGAGATTAAGCCGGATGGATGATTACGGCCTTCAGAGAAAAATAAATCGGTTAAGGCTAACGGATCGCTAGTCGTCGGATTTTAGTCATTCCTTATTGTGCGTCAACTTAGTGTTTATATAGAGGAGTGCAGTTCGAGTATATTCATAGAAATTAGTTTACTCTTATGCTAGTACATTAGCTCCTAGAAAGAAAAAGTCCAAAAGATACCCCCTCCCACCCGTCCACAACTACATCAAACAAATGTATTTTAACAATTGATTTTTTTTTTTTAATTAATTTAATTGATAAGGCTCAACCAAATTAACTTTACAGAGCCGAGGATTCTTGTTCACTATACAATACATCTTAAAACTATAGTCAAAAGGTACAACACAACAAACTTAATCCGCAAGATCTTCTAACGTTGTACCGGACAACGATTTGATCGGTTTTAGAGTACGGTAGTTTTTGCTTCCAGTCGGCGGCTAAAACACATATCATCAAACTGGAACGTATCCAGTATCGTTGTCTTCGTTTCGCGTTAGGATGCATGCACTCGACTCATACGATGAGTCTTGAAGTGTTGGCGGGCATGTTGCCTCTCTGATCGGTTTTCGTAATTGTCCCTCAGGCTTCTCACCCGATGTGAAGTTATGAACCCACTGGTAATCGAAAACTTTGAGAAGCTTCTCGAGCTAAACCCTCAAACTCGTTTTATGTCATTGTACTACGTGTACATAACACATGATGTCAACCCTTCGGCGCATAATCCCTATCGTGTTTGCTTCTCCGACTTCGGCAATTCAGTTAGTTTTGATTTACAGGGCGGACTCGATTATCCGGAGTCTTGAAAAAAATTTCACTCCGGATAGTCAAGCCCTCCGGATAATCAAGCCCTCCGGATAATCGAGCCATAAAATAAATTTTTTTTTTTGGTCTTATGTGGTCTCATTTAATGTTTTTAGTGGTCCCATTGAACGCTATTGAAGGATTATGGAATCGGACCACTGGTTTTGTAGATATGGCCGGAACAAGTTCCGGCGTTTATGGGCCATGAGGCTAAATTTGACTTGAAAGGAACAAAACCCATTAAGCGACACATCAAATTAAATCAAAATTTGATATCAAGATCAATGGTGGCAAAAATTAAGTACCTTGGACCATATTGGCCATTTCCGGACAAGTTCCGGGTGCCTCCAGAAAGTGGCCAGAACCAGACTTGAATAATAACCTATCATGCGACACATCAGATTATATCAAAATTCGATAATCAGATCAATGGTGGAAAAAATTAAGTACCTTGGACCATATTGGCCACTTCTGGACAAGTTCCAAGTGCCCCGGGAAAGTGAACAGAATCGGACTTGGATAATAACCTATCATGAGGCACATTAAAATACATCAAAATTCGATAAGAAGATCAATGGAATTGAACCCATGGACCATCCGCTTGAGAAGCGAACGTGTAGCCAACCACGCCATGGGACCCCTTAACTTGAGAAAAATCGTAGTCTCGTAACTCTCACGAGTGTGTAGAGACAAAGTTGAGCTTGGCTAAAAATCACGGCTACCGTGAAGGCACCATATTTGACGCGGTTCCTAACTTGACGCACTCGATCAATTTCGACCATTTTTCATTAATATTTTTGAAATGTTAACATTCCAAATATTAGTTCCGGTGCTCTAGGGATGATAGTGTAACAATTCAACTGATGGTTGCTGATTAAGCGGCTGCAGGCGAAAATGAAGACGATGCTGTTCTTAACCATGATTCACATTTTTATGAAGGAGAAAGCGTGACGAACACCACTCTGGATGAAACTGCAAACATTTCTACAGCAGATGACAACCAAGATGAGGAGTACGAACCAGTTCCAGATCAATCAGCGCTGAATAGTATTGACACTATCATCACATGGGCTGAGGAAAACCAATTGCCGTTGGAACGGCAGTTTTTACTTCGTGAAATCAGGGGAAATATTCTTGATAAAATAGTCAATGTGATGTATGATCAAATTTGCAATTCTCTTTGTTTTTACTGAATCACTTTACTGATGAACTACTGTTTTTACTGAAATGATGAATAAATGAATTGAACTACAAAATAAGATAAAAAATTGATATAAATTTTCAGGTATGAAGCCACCAAAAGACCAATTCTCACGAAACCCCCCTTTAAAGGCTCTTTAGTACATTTTTTTTAACGGATCTTCAAAAAAAAATTTCGGTTGCCATTCCTCCCCCCCCTGAAACGTGACGTAATTAGTGACCGGACCATCATGGGATTCAGTTTTTGTATGTTGTTGTGGCACATGATATGTTTGATTCCTTTCAGGTCAAACTTAATCCAAAACCCCTTAACGCCGGATTTTGTAACAAAGGCACACAAACACTTACATATAGTAATTTCCCGATCTTGTCAGACTGAGTCGAAAGATGTATGTTACTCGTCCTCGGATCGAAAGTCGGTTTTCCAAGCGGTTTATGAAAAATAATTTGCAAGATAGGTAAAAAAATATGACTCCGGATAATCGAGTCCGGCCTGTATTTATGACGCAAGAGATTCGCAAAATCCCAGAACATCATCGTTCCATGATTGTTCCGTCATTATACACTGCAAATTTTGGCCAAGTTGATTCCGCAAGATCATTCTTCACAGATGGATCACAAGTGCTGTGTTCCTAAAATTTGAGCTAAGTAGTCGCACTCAATATTGACCAGCGCCCTTAAAATATAAATCTGCCTAAAATAACGATGCGACCACCCCCAATGTTGATGACGTTGTTTCAAATAGTGAATTATCTAGTTTATATGGTACGTTGTAAAAAATTTGCTCTTTATCAAGCAGCACCGTACTCTACAGGTGGCGAAGGTGGCATTTGCTACACAACAAAAACCCGAGGGGTGGAAAATCGCTTTAATATTCCATGAATATCTACAAAGTCCCTTTATCCTTTCTTCTTGAAATTATGATTGGTTTCCGAAAGATCCGTCAACATTTTCGAAGCACCATAATGTGTGTTTTCTTATTTATCTCATATCATATGTGACTTTCTCCTAATTTCAGGAGAAACCTTGAACAGTTTCTAGAATATTAATAAACATTTGTGGGCAAAACAAAGTTCCCAAAACTACCAGTATGTTATCAAATCAAAACCTCCGCAGTATAAAGCCCTTACTGCGCTAACCGAAGCAATGGCGCAACGGACTTTTGTTTCTCCGAAGCCCCCTTCTTAAGTCACAAGTACTAAGCTTAAGAGTGGGAAGATTATGGATATGATGATAGTTAAAATCGAAAAACAAAAAAAATATAGATACATATACCCAAGTAACCAAAAGTTCCGCATTCAACGATTTAAATCACTTCCAAGTTCCATAAAGTTCAAATAAAGTTCCAACAAAACTTTCAAGTTCCATAAAGTTCGAATAACGTTCTGACAGAACTTTCAAGTTCCATAAAGTTCAAATAAAGTTCCGACAGAACTTTCAAGTTCCATAAAGTTCGAATAAAGTCCCGACAGAACTTTCAAGTTCCATAAAGTTCAAATAAAGTTCCGACAGAACTTTCAAGTTCCATAAAGTTCAAATAAAGTTCTGACAGAACTTTCAAGCCACATGAAGCAATCCGCACAAGTCTTTATTGGTAACAAAATTTAATGTACGTAAATATTAAATGATCAGTGGCCAGAATAAACCAGAATTCTTATATTTATGCAGTGTATTCGGCATGCAATCTACGAACGCTAACCACTGCGCCAAATGTGTTGGAATACCATGCGGGCAAACACCAATTTAAAATTCATCAAGGTGTTGTGTTTCGTATTCAAGTCAGTCAGCTGGCACTGAAAACTCCAACAGTAGGCGGGACAAAAGCTCACTTTATTATATCTCAGATGACGCAGCGGTTCGTGCTAAGGCTCTCACGCAGAAGGACTGGGTTTAATTCTTCAAACACTATTATTGCTGATTAATCAATACACTTTTATTGCTGATTAATCAATACACATTAATACCTGCCTTTAGAAATAACTTTCATAAAAGTGCGAATAAAACATAGAATTTTAGTGTAGAGGACAAAAACCTTTTTTTAAATTTATTTTCTAAAAGTTCCATTCAAGTTCCACCAGAAGCTGCTTGGAATGCTCTTTAATTATGATACCGGAACTTTCTCCTCCTTATAACGACTTAAAAATGAGGCTGCTTAGAATTCTATAGACCACCACCAACCAAGCTGCTTAAGCCACAAATAGCCTTTTATCAGAACTTTTGGTTACTTGGGATATATGGATTTGCTTTATGCATTTTACTCAGAATACCTCTGGCGTTTTTTAAATCATTACCAATTTGGTTTCTACGATGCTGTTCAAATTATGCTGGAGGTGGTGGATTTGTGATATATTGAGTAGTTATAAATTATGACTGCTGTTAAGATAGCATGAATCAATCGCCAGCATAAAAGAACAGCAATCATAAAATATATGTAGAATAATTCAAGATGGCACATCCCATGTGACTCTCGTAAAAAACCTTACTTTCGAAAAGGAAACTTTTATCTAGGAAACCTCGTGAACCCAACCTTTGCTACTGTTAATCAAAAGTGGAATTCCAATCTCCTCGAGCATGTGTGCTTGTCAATAACGCAATCGTCACTACACAAATCTTTGAAATAGGAACAAAAAATGTTTGTGCTATTACAATTGATGTTACCTTTCGAAACCTGTATAGGCAATACGTTTACTGTTTCAGTGACAGGTTGTTACGTTTATATTAGGTTCTTGATTAAGACGTTCCCAAGAACTCGTGACATTACTGCCGAAAGTGTTAAATCAGACCAAAAAATAGAACACCTTCGGAAGTGAGTCTATCTTTGAGTTGATTCAACATTTTCCCTATTGAACTCAAACTTATTCTGCACGTGCTATTTTTTTCTGAAATGGTTCAGTACTTTCCAAAGTGATCCTAAGCTTTTCTCAAGTTATTCGGTACTTTCTGAAGTGATTCCAAACTTTCCTAATGTAATGTTATGTCAGTATAGGCAGATTTCGTTTTTGGAAACGGAACTACAGTGGTCATTATGGTTATATAACTCAATATCGAGTTAGTGGACATTGAGTTGCGGAGAGCTGACT